GTGTGTGTGTGTGTGTGTGTGTGTGTGTGTGTTTGTGTGTGTGTGTGTGTGTGTGTGCGTGTGTGTGTGTGTGAGTGAATGAGTGAGTGAAAAAAGTAAGTGTGTGTGTGTGTGAGTGTGCGTGTGTGCGTATGTGTGTGTGTGTGTGTATCTTGTGTGTGTATGTATGCGTGTATACATTTGTGTACACGTATAAAAGTCTCCCGTCCATCTATACTTCCTTCCTTCCCCCATTATCTGTCTCTCTCTTTCTCTCCTTCCCTCCCACCTCCCTCTCTTCCTCTCACCCTCTCTCTGCACTATCCTATTAAACTCAATCCTATATAACACCTAGTTAATACACTCTACTAATCTACAACTATCCCTAACCCGTTGCATGAACCGTAAAAGAGACTGCAAATTATCCGACTGCTGGTTGAGTGTCCGCGACCCAGGAACTTCAAAGATAATTCCCCTTATTGCACACACGTTGCGATTTGAAATGTTGCAATAACTGGCTTGAAGTGGCCACACTGAAGGACTGAAGTTGTTGAGAGTGAAATGGATAATGGTGTTGTGTCAGAGATGAAACGAGGTGGATTAGAGTGTGTCATTGGCGTAAAGGAGCCGTGGAAGTGTCCATTGTGATATGCAAATATTATATTTTTTTTCTTTCGTGATATATGTGTCCTGAATGTTTGGGATTGATTTCATGTTGTGTTGGTTGTCGCTTGGTGACAGATGAAGCAGTTAATACTGTTTCTGTGTGTTAGGGAATTGCTGACGGATATATTGCACACACAAGGTGTGAAATACACATACACATCACGTACATTCTCTCTCTCTCTCTCTTTCTCTCTCTGTCTCTCTCTCTCTCTCTCACTCTCTCTCTTTCCCCCCGTCTCTCTCTCTCTCTCTCTCTCTCTCTCTCTCTCTCTCTCTCTCTCTCTCTCATTCTCACTCTCTCTCTCTCTCTCTCTCATCTCTCTCTCCCTCTCCCTCTCCCTGTCTCTGTCTCTGTCTCTCTCTCTTGAAGAAGAAAATGAATGTAGACGAACATAAGAAGCATAAGTAAAACGAAACCAGCCATCCATGCATTTCACGCTCATGTACAAAAGATACGAAAGAAAATGGGTAATAGCGCAGTGTAAAGAAAACAAATGGCGCGTTTCGATCACTGATCTCGAAAGAAAGTCCGGATCGAACAGACCATTGTTTCCAGGGACCACTGGGACCACTCCGGAAGCCGAGGAAGTGTGAAGTTCGCACTAATTTTTAAAACGATTTTTCCCCCTCGAGGACGCATGATTCATTCGTACTTTTCCTTCTCTTTCCTCTCCGGGAAATTGGAGGCATGTGTTTCCTTTTATCAATGTTTTTTTTTTTTTTTTTTTTTTTTGTAAAGAAAAGTAGAAGGGTTGGCACGCTTTTACTCTGTTATTATTCTTATAGAGTGGTTTGGGGTGTATATAAATCGCCTGTGTCTATTTATGACTATTTACTCATAGCTAGTAAAATGTTACTGTGGAAATGAAAAATATGATGAAATACGGTTAAAGTTACATTAATAGGAGCCTAGAAATACGGCCCAGGGCAGGGCAGTCCCAGTCCTCCTTCTGGGAAAGTGGTTTGGATTTTATCACTTTTATCCTGATCAAACTAATAGGCCTACATCGAGACGCGTCAATTACGTTCTCATCCAGAGTTTTACGACCATATTTATTGTTATCATTATTAATAATGTTATTTTTGTTGTAGTTGTTCTTATTATTATTATCATTATTATTATTATTATTATTACCATTATTAATATCATCATTATTACTATTATTATCATAATTATTTCTGTTATCTTTACTATTATCTTTATCATAATAATAATAATAGTAATAATGATAATAATGATAATAATGATAATAATAATAATAATAATAATAATTATTATTATTATTATTATCATTATCATTATTATTATGATTACTATGAGTAATATGATTATTATTATTATTATTAACATCATCTTTATTATTAAAATTATCTACTTGACTCACGCTCTTGTCGGCGAGGTTGTGGACGAGGCAGTGGAGGTAGACGGTGTTGCCCGCGAGCCCCGACACGTTCCTGGGCGCCGCCTCGTCGAACACCGGGTACGAGGGCAGCGTGAAGAAGCGGTTGGCCGCCCCCCCGCCCGCGCTCAGGTCCAGCAGGGGCTTGATGGGCTCCACGGGCGTGCTGCTGCTGCCGCTCAGGGTCATGCCCAGCTGCGTGCTGCCGCCCAGCTTGGTGTTCACGCTGTTCCTGCTGGCGCCGCCGCCGCCGCCGCCGCCGCCGCTGTTGCCGACGCTGGTCCCGAGGTTGCTGAGGACACTGCCGCTGCTTCTGCTGGATCTCCGAATGAACTCCTGCTCCTGCTGGGGAGGGAAGGGGGCCGGGAATACGCCGGGCGCGAACTTGGCCAGGCCATTGGAGGACGAGGAGGCGGATGTGCCAGACGGCCCTGCGGACGAAACACGAGGCGGAT